AATAAAGCAACGCACATTCTGTTTGTGTGGATGTGTGCTGAAAGGGGCCATTTGAAATAACCAGTTGCGCTAGAAACTTTTGCAAAAGCATGCAATAGATTGAGAATTAAAGAATGAGCGATCCTTGCGGTCTTGGCTAAGGTCTTGCTTTTCAGACAGCTCCAAAGCCTAGGATACTAATGAAATGGTTTTGGGTTTGCAAGAATGGTTCTGTGGTTTTAGGCTAGCAAGAATGGTTTTGCCTTTGATATAATACCTTGTATGAGGTGTTGCCACATTGTCTTGGTTGCATGCTTATTTATATACTAGTTTTTGTTATTGTTAGATATTCTGTGCGAAGTGCAAGTTGAATGAAGCGTTCCCCGATAATGATATTATACTCTGTGATGGGACATGCAATTCTGCATTCCACCAAAAATGTCTGGATCCTCCCTTGGATACTGAAAATAGTAAGTTTCTCACCTTTTCTGAATTTGTTTTGGACCTTTTGGTGAATACCAATTAGATTTTGTTAGCAAACGGTTACTTTAAGTTTAATTGGTAATCTACAGTTCCTCGAGGAGATCAAGGCTGGTTTTGCAAATTTTGCGAGTGTAAAATGGAAATACTAGAAGTAGTCAATGCTCATCTTGGGACCTGCTTTTCCAATGACTGTGGTTGGCAGGTTAGTCATTACCAGAATTATCTAGAAATGCCAACTTTTCCCCCACTATTTACTTTTGATTTCAGAATTTAGTAATTCATGTAATTACTCTCTCCATGGGATAGGATGTCTTCAAGGAAGAAGCCGCTTTCCCTGATGGTGAGAATTCGTTATTAAACCCAGATGAAGAATGGCCTTCAGATGATTCTGAAGATGATGATTATAATCCAGAAAGGAACGAGAACAGCTGCAGCTTCAGCATGGGAGGCACCGAAGACAATGCATCAGATGATGAATTGTCAACTGATGTCAGTGTAGGTTCTGATGAGTCTACTGATGGGGAAGTTGTTTCTGGCCGCAGACAGAGAAGACGTGTTGATTATAAGAAGTTATATGATGTGAGTACGCAGCCCAAATTTTTTGAGCTTTTTTATTAACTTGTTCCCTGACAAATAGAATAGAGATGAATTATTGGTGGGACTTTGAGAAAATTAAATGTGTGCATTTTAGTCATCTTGTGGTTACATGAGGAAACTTCATGTAGGCAGAGAGAGACATATAGAATACTCTAGATAGCAATGTCTTCCTCAAGTACAAACAGAAAGGAAACTTGACTCTTGAACTATACCCTGCTCCTACTAATAATAGGACTCCAAATTGACAACATAAAGCTACAGAAGACTCTTGAGTCTTTTGAAAAGCTCCTAAAAACACTAGTCTAAAAACAGAAATGTAATGTCTAATTTTCTAATGAGAGCATGAACTTTGATTCCTTGTACCTTTACAGATTTAATTTCAATTGGATGCCGCATTTGGGTCTGATAGAAGGAGAATGCTAAGTTTCCAGAAAATGAAATTACTTAGAAACCAATAATTAGACCCCTACAGTTGTTTGCTTGCAGACATCTTGGCATATAAAACAGTCTGTTTGGATATATTGTCAACCTATGAAATGCTTGTATCATAATGTAATCAATATAGATCTCTTTGGGGTTTATTATAAATTTCTATTTCATGCAAAATTATGGGCCACAGTTCCCCATTTTGTTGTTACATCACCAGTTTTTGAGGTAAAGGTCAGATATTCACAGTATAATACATATTTCTTTCCCCTACAAGGAAATGTTTGGAAAAGATGGTCCTTTGCATGAACAAATTAGTGATGATGAAGACTGGGGTCCTGTTAAAAGAAAGCGGAGAGAAAAGGAATCTGATGCAGCCAGCACCCTTATGACTCTCTATGAAAGCGAGAGAATTCCAGATGTCACCCCTACAGAAGTGAAAAGTAAACATCCTCCAGATACTCAAGTTAGAAGGGCATGTTTCCGAATACCTCGCAAGGCAGTAGAGGTATTAGAACATGACTCTCCCTTCTCTCTGTCTGTCTCCTTATGCTTTCAGGCAGAGGTATTTATAAATCTGAAGGCAGTACTTGATATTTTCTTGACTAAAATTCTGTGCTGTAATTTCCTATTCCAGAAGCTGCGCCAAGTGTTTTCTGAGAATGAACTTCCTTCTAGAGATGTGAAAGAGAATCTTTCAAAAGAGTTGGGACTAGATCCTGAGAAGGTAATGGCGATTGATGAACCCGCTCTATAAGTCTTACTGCGTGCCATATTGGATCGAGAAAAAATTAGTTTAAAAGTTACCGATATGTTTTTCATCCAGTCAAATACATTTGCCTTTCTGGATTTTACTTTATTGGAAGTTTTGGTTCAAGTCTCAGAGAATTTAAATGCGTAGGCGTGAGTTTTGTGGTATCTGATCTGTGAAGTCAGTGTCACTGGGATATTAATACGGGATTGAAGCTTATGCTTTTCTTACATTTTCCATTGTTTTAATCCTTTTTAAGTTGCAATTTCCAGGTTAGTAAATGGTTTAAGAACGCACGTTACTTAGCCCTCAAAACCAGAAAGGTGAGCTAGTAGTCTCTGTATTTTTTAATATACCTATCACTGTGTTTTTTCTTTTTTCCTTTATCTGTTTTAGCGTCTTTGAGTTTTCACTGCTAAATAAAAATCAACGGTATTTTGTTGGAAATATTTTCAACAAAGAGTATGATGGATCTTTTGCGCAACAGGAAGAGAGTGCTACAAACCTTCACACTGTTACTCCTGGAATCTCCAAGGAATCCACACATGAAAATGTGACTGAAAAAGCTGCTGATCTCATGGCATCAGATTCAGATGATTTCTTAGCTGAAACTGTGGTCCATTCTCCAAGAAATGTTAAGAAATCCTTCCGGAGAAAGCACCCAAAATCATTAAGCAGCCCTTTGAGGAAAAATCAACAGAAAGGATCTTCATGTGGGTCACCTGCAAAGAGAAACAAGGTCTTGGCCTATCATAAAAGATAAAAATTAGGAATTTTCTTATTATTCCAGGGTCATTGGTATTATGGTTATTTTAAGGGTTACTGTGTTTTGACCGTCATTGTGGCCACGTGTTTATCAGTAAAATAGTGAAGTAGTTATTTTGCTTGTGAGACTTGAGCTTTGCTTAGTTTCTTAATTTTGGATCTTTTCCTTTAGAATAAGAGTTTTGAGTTTTTGTAAATTTGCAACCTCCCTTTTTTATCCAAAAATCTTTAAGCGTCCTACAGATAGTCACAGCCTACTGATAGAAATCAACTGCCCTTCAACAGACTTGTGATCTCAATCAGTCCCCATTTCTTACTCTCATCAACTTTGTTTTGTGTGGAAGAATTCTGGTGTATCATGGAGTTCTTCAGGAACAACCCCACTTTGTCATCAACTATTTCACATGCCTTAAATCTTCTTTTAAACAGTTGCGACTTACCTTTATTTTTGTCGGTGTGTTAGTAAGGGTATAGAAAATTGTGTGCCTACCTCAACTTATTTTTGTTGAACTTTTGTGACAGATGAGAGAATTGTATGATTTTTTTAGATAGATAGTATATTTACCCCTAATTATGTATGTTGGATAACTTGAATAATAATAAAGTTGACTCATGTGTTGGTTTGCTTTCATATAGGATGGAATGGAGTTGAGTGATAATGTGAGCTTGAAGAAGCTTTTGAAAGAAAGAACAAAGGAGAAGAAGGCCAACCTTATTGCTGGAGGTGGATGTCGAGTTGCAGAATTGGAAATGGAGAGACTATGTAAAGCCAAAGGTAGGCTAGAAAATATGAGACAGAAATTACTGAAATTTCAAAATGCCAAGGCAAAGAAGTCAAATAAATCTCCCTTGCATGAACAGTCTGTCATTTATGTTCCAATAGCAGAACTAAAGGACAAAGTTTGATATTCTGAAATGTTATGAATTTTCATATAGCATTTTTGTCATCTCAGTCATTGGGTGTTTCTTAATTCCAAATGCCTCGCACTAACTTAAAATTTAACGTGTGGTGTATCAATTTTTTCTTCTTGTACAAGAATATACTCTCTCTCTCTCTCTCTCTCTCTCTCTCTCTCTCTCAAGTTATCTTTCAGAAGTGAAAAATAGTTTTGAGACTTGGGCTCCGAATTAACTTCAAGTTGAACATCCTGTTGTATTTGGTTTGTTTCGCTCATTTTTTTCATTTCAATTTTGATAAATCCAGCCCTATAGTTTGATTTGGTTTGCAATCAAGTTCAAATTATTAATTTCGTTGAATAGAGAAAATTCGACGTTGCAATATGCAACCACCTCACAGGAGGCAACTTTTGTTTCCAAAACATTTACGACACCAATATCTTACCAAATAACTTGTTAGCAATAACTATCCGCATCAGTTTCACACTTGTATTTTTACTTTTAGTTCGAGCGATAGGCTAAACTACAACTCACGCACACTACCAAAGGTGCCATGGGGTTTTGAATATGAGACGACTAGTTTGTAAGTCATGGCCTTCTTTCCATTGGGCTAGACCCGTTGACAAATTTTATTTTATTTATTTAATACAGAAATTTGGGACAGAGACTGAGGTTTAGACTTTTAGACTTGAACAATGCAATTGAATTTGTCTTTTTGCAATGAAATTTTAGCGGAGGCGATACTTTTCGCAACCTCAGAATGGAACCATTTTCAGTTTCATCTGGATATCACACTACACCGGAAACAATGCCTGAAATTCTGTTTTGTGGAAAATGCTCATCCTCGAATAAACTAGACCAGGAAATCTTACTCTGTTGTCATTTCGCTCTGAAATCCACCAATCAACAACACCTTCAACTTATGATGAAATCCACCAAGCCTTGTCACAAAAGCTTATAGGTAGTGTTAATCAGAGAACGAAACTTTAATGGAATAAAATCAAGGAAACATTTATAGTTACTACAAGCTTTCCCAAGAGAGCTGAAAATCCTAGGTCGTATATTTTTCGCTATGAAAATCATGAACAATATGATATTCACAATTTAGTTTTGTAGTTCTTCGTCCATCGATTCCACATTTCAGTTCACCCATTAAAAGATGAAAATCAAACAACACTGATAAGGAGGTTAAAAACTTTAAAAACGAGAGGCGCACCAAGACAGTAGCTCATAAACATATACTTGCCTATATCATAACACATTCAACTGCGGTGAAAATTTCTAACCCAATTTGTTATATATGAAATAAATGTACAACATGAGTAACAAGCTGGGTTTGTATCGACACTTTTATTGAGTTCTCATCATATCATAGAGTTTGTATACTTTTTGCATCTGTTATGGGGTTTTGTAAATCACCAGTACTCTTGGTGCCATCCAAAGTATGCCGTTTTGCAGATAGCCGGGGCCTCAGCTGCATGTTATACTAAATAATAAGAACCCAAAGACAAACCAGAAGGAAAAAAAATGGTACACAAACTGATGTATTACACTCCAGTTAGCCATTAGCACATGTTTGAGAGAATTTTAAAAGGGAATTTCAAGAACTTGGTAAATTTTAAAAAGGATTTTCAGGAACTTTGTTCTGACAAAAAGCACATGAATTTAAAACTATGAAACATTATGTAAGTTTAGATATGCCAGAAATTCACTACAACACATGTTTCCCCAATAAGTTTGCAAAGGAATTAGTAACTAATCATCAATTCAATAGTAAAATTTAATGTCTCATCTCAATTCCCTCAATAAATCTATCCATACCTCCCTCAGAAAAAATGAACACGTGTAACTTGAACTGTACAATCTTGTACGTACCAACCATTAGCTCATTTTTATTTATTTTGGCCCATACCCTCTGAGTTTCTTCGTTACGAAAATATTTCAACATACTCAGGAAATATATCAACCTTTTTCTTTTCATTTTCTTTTTGTTTGGGTTATCCTTTAAAATTTCAGTAGTTTCATTGAGTTATTTACACTGACCGTCTCAATATACTTCAGTTGCTTCAGAACTTGATCCGTTCCCAGTTCCTGAGCCAGACACATAAAAGGAGAGTTTGCATTAGAGTTAATAATAGAAATACTATAGAACAGACTATAAAACTGTCAATAAAATCTGATAGGCATAAGAAAGATAAAATGATAGTGAAGTGTTTTCTACCAAGCTTTTTCACAATAAAAATATGCTGCCAAGACTAAACATTGAAGGTGAAGTTGCATCTCTTCACTAGATTCCTCTCATTCAAGTATCTCTTACCCAAAAACTCAACAATGACAACCTCAAAAATCCTAACCAAAGTATAGAATCAAAGAAATTCTAAGTTTCTAACCCACGAACTAAAAACAACCTTCACATCGTTGTCCTTTTATGTAAAGAATCAAGAGAATTTCAGTGTTTCGGATAATAGAAGTAAAAGAGGAACAAGAAAGGTTTTAACATAGGATATAGTAGTTAACTCTTCAACAAACTCAGATATGTTTTTGTGAAACAATTAAGATAACTTTGGTTTGGAGATGATGGCAGTAATGGAGGACACAAATGGTACTGATGGCTTTGAAGATTTAGGCAATAGAGGCTTGAGTAGGAATACTGTGGTGAAGACCACAGAATCTAGCAGTTGCAAAAATGTGAGCACATTTGAGGACCCTGTCAGTAAGAATTTGCTATACCTTTTCTTCTTAGAGTTGCATGATATGGTCTAAATATCCAAAAATAATCTAAAAACCCAAGACATATGAAGTCTGTCAGTGATATGTCCACCTGAGGCACATTACAATCAGCATGGCTTGGATCCCAAAGGATAGAGCAGAAGCACTCCCAGTCATCAGTTTGGACTTCAAAAAGAGGAGCCCTGCTATATGAGAATTTCCCATAATGTTAAAGATGTATAACATAATCAACAATAAGTAGAAAATCAATCTAGGAGAGCGAAAGAGATATAACACAAATTTTGATCAAATAGTATAAAACTAGTTCTGAATTTGTAACAAAACCTTTTTCAAGTGAAAAGCACAGCATTTTGGGGGTGGGAAGTGAAGGTTCGAGTCATTGAGGTTGTAGTGTGTTACCTGTAATTTTGGTTATTTGGATGGAAAGAAACGAGAGAAATCATAAAGTTTCAATCACTCTTCCAAAGTTTCATACTATGACTCATCATTTTACTTTTGGGTGTGTATGAATCATCAATTTTTGCCACTCAAGCATTCCCTTACCATCATACTATTATAAAATAATTTTTTTAGCCAAGAGACACCCTCATCTCCTAAACATCTCCACAGATCAATCAGAATTCCATCTGGTCCTAAAACCCGTTCTGTTCCCATCTTCCTTGATCCAAGGAAAAACTTTCATATAATCATCCTTCAATGACCTTCCATCGTTCTCACCACTCTTTATCATTTAACATTATTACAATTTGTAGTTTATCTCTACCTTAACTTTGCAAGTTCTTAGATAATACTTATTTGCTTACAGTAAGTTCTTGTAGCTTTTCTCCCCATCTTTCATGCCCATTATTTATTTTATGTTTGCTTGCATCCAGCTCTTCATCCATGCCACTTGAGCTAAGACTCATGAATCATGCCTATTTTAGAGTAAAAATCACTACATGTTTGACTTAGCATCCCATGCTACTCTTCACTTCCTCATCCATGCCCAATTATTGATCTGTTTGACAAATATTCTATGATTGATCATACCTCTGTTTTTACTCAGACGGCCTATCATTGCCACATCATAACTCAAATTATATGTACAAGACACGACAACAAAAAAACAAGAGAGAAAAGAAGGGGGAGAAGTGCAGCTTCAACTTTGTACAATATGCCAGTATCTAAATATTAACATAAGAAAAGATTGCAATTGCACTGGGGACAGTCAAATAACTTTATAATTATCAAATTTGACAAGTCACAAACAACTTTCCTTCATTTATATCAGTGTTTCATATTCTCCATTAAAGTAATTTTGCCAAATATAATAATACTATACATATTTTTCAGAAAAATTTCCAACCAAAGAGTCAAATCATAACCATCACATGTTCCAATTAAGTGCTAAGTTAACATAAAACCATAAACAAATTACCTGCGCCACTTGCCACAAATAGTTCCATTTGCACTATCTACAACTTCTCGACATTGAAGCCAATTACCTATAGAGCTAACTCTAGAAGGTTTATTGCAGTTCAGCTCCTACAATGAAAAATGGCCATTGCTCAATAGAATTTCCAAATCATCCTTGCCAAATGAAAATGCTGATTACAAATGCACAGACACATGAAGGACTTACATTCAATCTAACATACTCCGAAGAATCTAATTCCAATGGTTCGCCAATGCCATCAATATCACTATATCAAACAAAACAATAAAAACTGTAACTTGTAAGCAGCATGCCAAAAGAGAGAAAATAGCAATTCAAAAAAGGGCAGGAGATGATGAAAATGTTTCTTTCCATAACGCGCATGAAAACAGAAGATCCCACACAAAGAGCTATGAAGAAGGACAATCAACAAATTGTTCAGGAATACAACCAGCACACAGGAGGAGATCTTTCCTACCTGGCGTGCTAAGTGCTTTGAAAAAAAGGATATAAGACAGAATAACTAAGGAAAACTACTTACGCTACTATAAACCACATAATGGAACAATCAGAAAGTCAAAGTACCAATTCAACTGTAACTTAGAGTGGAAAGGAAGAGTGACAAGGAAAGAAAGCAGCCTATAAATTTAACAAGGTTATCCATCCAATTTGTGAAGGCAGTATGCATTTAACCTGCATAAAAAGTTTCAAAAAGTTAAGAATAAATTATTGAATGAACATACTCATTTATTGGGCCTGACCAGTCAGGAACTTCCGCTTGATACCCTTTGCCAAACCGAACACTGGTTGCATATGGCTCAATGTCTCTTAACATTAACAGTATAGGATTCACTTGGCCTTTAGATGATGCATTCCTACACATGACACTGGTGATATTCGGTGATTTTCTAGCCACTTTCTCCTTTAAAATTTGCTTCTTTCTCAAACAAGAATGGCAGAACCATTCATCAAAAGGTACTTTCTTTATACAGGGGTGGCAGCATGACATGTGAAATGCCTCTTCACAATTATCACAAATCAGCATTTTCAGAGCAGTTCCAGCACGACTACAAATTTTGCATGACCGATGACAGCTGTCACTGCAACTGGTACCAGTGTCTTCAGCAGAACGACAAATCCTGGTAGCCTGAACATCCCCAAGCAGTCCATGGCTTCTAAGAATAGAGATGCATAGATCCTTTTCAGACAGGTCTCCCACAGCTTCCATGACTATCACACTAGAAGAGGAGCACTCACCATTTTCATCTACTTCAGTCTTCATGGAAGTTGAAGCATGCTCCATATTTGACTTTGATGATGAGCAACTATCATTTACGCTGTTTAACTCTAACACTTTTCGAACATTGTTTTTAAGTGCTTCATCAGAAACTAATTCCTCACCAACAGAACATCCATTAAAAGATTCTGAACTTAAAACATGAGACTCTCTATTGCATAAATGAGGAGACGCTCGAGTGGCTTTAGTTTCATGCTCTATGTGCAAATCAACAAGTTGTTTCTTAGCAGCAATTGAAGGAACGATAAAATTTACAAAAGAACGATAATCACCAGTTCTTTTGTTTTCTCGATCTTCTGAAAATATGGTGACAGAGTTTCCTCCTAATTTCTTCCTTTTATATACGAGATTAGGTGCACTACTTTCGGACATTATTCTGACTGCTGACAGATGCTCCATATTTGACTTTGATGATGAGCAACTATCATTTACGCTGTTTGCCTCTAAAACTTTTTGCACATTGTTTTTAGGTGCTTCATCAGAAATTAATTCCCCACCAACAGAACATCCATTAAAAGATTCTGAATTTAAAACATGAGACTCTCTATTGCATAAATGAGGAGACGCTCGAGTGGCTTTAGTTTCATGCTCTATCTGCGAATCAACAAGTTGTTTCTTACCAGTTCTTGTGTTTTCTCGATCTTCTGAAGGAACATTAAAATTTACAAAAGAAAGATAATCACCAGTTCTTGTGTTTCCTCGATCTTCTGAAAATATGGTGACAGAGTTTCCTCGTAATTTCCTCCTTTTATATACAAGATTAGGTGCACTACTTTCAGACATTATACTGACTGCTGACAGCTGGGAAGAACTTCTTGGAAAAAGTAAGGAGGGCAAATCATCAGTATTCTTGTTTTCCTTTGAGTTTAGTTGAGCTTTTCTGCAGCTGCAATGAAAGTCGCATTTTGTACACATCTGCCAAGTTTCAGCACCAGGCACCCAATTACATAAGACATCTTGTAACCCATGGTTAGATACACAAAATAGAGCAGCTTCAATTGAACTAGGAAGGGAACTCTGTATTAACATTTTCACCTGAAACAACCTCACTAATATCTGGTGCACGTTCTTATAAAGTCCCAGAGTAATTCACCCTCTTATATGTTTGAAATAGGAGTTTCATATAATACTGAAGAGGCATCCCCAAAAGTCTTCTCCATTCTATTGCACCAACCTCTGATTCCAAGAAGAAGAAAAAAAATGTCAGTTTAAACACAGGAATCAAACTCTAGAACTTCATGCACTTCCTTTTAATTTTGAAGACAAGTTTTTCAATGCAAAAGGTTTTAATTTTGAAACACCAAGTGAGCGCTAGGAAGAATGTAATCCAAAATGGGGAATAAAGAAATAGACAAAAGTCAGACTATCTTCATCTTCCAATCAAATGGTAACATAAAAAAAGTCATATTTCAGTTCCATAATGAATGCTCTATCCCCTCAAAGTAACAAAAAATTTGCTCCAGCCACAGACACCATGAAGAACGCAATGGTGGACTCCAACTTATGTTATTAGTCTTCTTGACAAACCATACATGAACTCCACAAACACATCAGCTGTAGCTATCATCACCCAAGGAATTCCAAAAAGACAGTGTGTGTGTGTGTGTGTGTGTGTGTGTGTGTGCGCGTGTGCGTCTAAGAGAGAGAGAGAGAGAGGATGAAAAATAGCATCATTTCCTAGCACACATGCAACAAAGAAATAGTGATTTACAGATTCCTCTGCTTGCTTTCACATACACAACTGATGGACAAGAGCGAGTTGTCCAATTACATTATCTATTGTTAAAACCTTACCCAAAGATGCTGTACAAGCAAAAGAAAATGCCTTAGGTGGGGCAGCATTACTAAAAATTTCTTTCCGCGGAAAGAGCACGGATTGAACACCAAATGGATCCCCTTTAGTATGGTTTATCCTTAAACACCCCCTTTCGGATAAACCCCATTTCATCCCCTCACCTCCAATATTACTCCCTAAGAGAAGTTTGAAAAAAATTAAAAACACCCCATAAATAATTAAATAAAATTGTTACGAGGTGCTAACATAAGTCATATAGAGACAGTGCATCCCATAGAAATTGTAAAGAGAAGAAGACCCATTTAAAAAAAAACATAAGTATTTATATGTCCCCTAGAAATAGAATAGTCCTCTCAATGACTTTCCTTTAACTCCATGACACAGTGCTACTCTTCAAATGCTATATGATATTTCTCTTAACACAAACACTAGGACAAATGAAATGGTACTGCCTACCAAACCTCTCTATTATAATAAACCTGCAATTGAGCATCAATGACACTTTTCAGCATCAGCATGAGACCCCAAAGAAATAACATATGTAATCCCATGGCTCCCTGGGCACTGAACAACAAAAATGTAAATGATACATGGTTCATTTTAGCTCTTACACATAGCATCTATTAACACTAACCAGAAGCTTCCCATTTCATCAAGTAATCATCAAAACTCTCGAATAGCAATATGGGGATGTGCCTGTCCCAAACTTTTCCACTGACAAGAATTTTAAATAGGTCTTTGCATCAAATTTCTTCCCCTTTTGTGAGTCCAGCTCAATTAGTCATCAAACCCCAATTCTACCACCTTCACCACTATTAAAGTCTTAAAAAGAATCCAACACAAAAAACAGCTCTCATTCATTCAGATTCTCTAAAAATACAGGGATCTGAGAGATACCACCTCCATCACACACAACCATTTTTATCAGCTGCCAAATCAAGAAAATCATTCTTCAAGGGGCAATTAGACATTGCATACCATTAAAAAAATGCACTTGCCTACAAACTGTTATCTGAAATCCATAATATTCTACCATGTGATATAATAGTCTTTGTGCTAAAACCACCAAACTCCACTTCAGAATTCTTTTCCAAAAAAGATCTCCACAAGCTCTGCAAGTCCACAGCATAAAAGAAAAGCTTCCAGATTCCATGGCCCCATTCTGCCTCAAGATGCAAGCAGTCCATCAACCCATCAAATTGCTCCAAATTTCAAAACTCCTATAAGAAGAGCTGTAATCCACTGAAATAGTTTCAGTTAATAACCCAAATGAGCCCTGTGCATGACAAAAGACCGAGAACGTGCATATGCTCCATAACACCTTGGATGACATAAAAGTAATCACCTTGTAGCATGCCATAATATACAAATTTTGTTGAAATTTGTGCTGGGTATATTGATATCAATACAACCAGTATCAGCATAATAATAGCACCATCTAAAATCACAATAGTTGACGCATCTGGTTAGCACAAAGTCAACAATGCAAATTGTGGCTGGAAGAGAATAACTAACTTAGAATTAAGGAATGGCATGAGACACCAACCCAAAAAGCACAACTATAAGAAGAAATTTTGGTTGTTTTCGTCAACTTCCCATGTTGTTGATGTCTTGGATTGGAGAAATCCATGATATCTATTTGCAATACAATGAAATATCAGGATAAATTTAACTTAAACCTCCAAGAGGATTTTCCTAGAATTCTACTGATATTCGATACCTCATCATCTGCTGCACTCAGTGCAACATTTTTCTTTTTCTTTTTCAGATGCGTAATCTAATTAAAAATCATAATAATTAGACAAACTAAACATTGAGAAATGCTATATGTAATAAAAATGCAGTCTGCTACAAACACCAAATTCAAGGTGAATGAATTATTGTGTAATGCAACACGTAACTTCAAAAATTCAACTGGCATGTCCACCTGTAAACATAATGCAGTAAAACTTCGTACAACTCTACATATTTCCCTCATCTATTTCCTGCACATACTTAGATGAACATCTTTTTCTATTCCAATACTTGGAAACCTAATAAAATTGAAAATTAAGATTGTTTATATTTAAGGAATGCCATTTACAAGGAAACCATTTGCATGATACCAAAAAATAAAATGTTCTTGCACATATAGAATCTATTAACTAGCACCATCCTGTTTAGATCAAATATTCGATCATCAGAATCCTATAATGAATGATGTTCCCTGTCCCAAATCTTTCTAGTGAAAAGAGTCCGGATTCAAACCCAAAAGAGCACTAACAAAAGTCTTCGCGCCCCATTAAAACTCCACTTGACCCACCATCCCCCAGTCCACCAACCTTTCCTCCAATTAAAGTCTTAAAAGAAATCCTTAACCAAACCCAGATTCAAATTTTCTTAGACGTTCAAACATATGATTTCAATAGCTACACCTTCATCATACACCAAACTGTTCTCATCAGCTGCAAAATAAAACAAGGGGTATTTCCACACCACGTATGATGCATAAAATGCATTTGCCTACCAACTGTTATCTGAAATCCATAATCTGCTACCACTTGATATAACAACCTTTGTCCTCAAAGCACCGAACTCCTCATCAGAATTCTTTTCCAAATCATATCTCCACAAGCTCTCCAAGTCCTCAGCATAAAAGCAACTGAACTTCCAGTTTTCCAACCCCCTGTTCTTCCTCAGGAGGCAACCAGGACTTCAACCCATCAAATTATCCCAAACTTTCAAACCCCTAGAAAAAGAGAAGTGATGCACTGCAATGATTTAGTTATTAATCATAACAAGCCCTATGGATACTGGAAAGACCCATAACTTACAATATTTAAGCACAAGGACAACAAGGACAACATAAAGTACTCACTTTGTAGCATGCCATATCCAAGATGATACATCAAAATTTGTCCAAATTGACACCAGATATATATTAATAATAAATTGTTACGTCAATACAGCAACCAGTATCAGCACCATCTTATTGCCATCTACAATCAACATATTTGACGCACCTAAGTTTCTCGTTAAGACTAAAAGAAATAATAAACTTGACTGTGCAAAATGTAACCAGAAGAGAATACCTAAAACAGAATAAGGTTGTGGGCATGAGCCACCAACTCATAAAGCATAACCGTATGTAAAACTTTTGGTTCTTTTTGTCAACTTAACATATTCTCTATGCCTTGGACCAATATGTGGAGTCTATTTGCCTACAACTTCTCCATATAGTTAATAACCCATCATCTACTGCGGTGAAAGCAGAATTTTCTCTTTTTTTTCTACCAGATGCAAAATAAATTGAAAAAAGAGCATATTAATTGATATAGGATATGGGTGAACTGTAGATTTAGACAGATTAGCGGAAGCGAAAACAGTGAGAACAGAAAATTAAATGAATAAAAATAGGTATGGAATCACTCCAGGGGCTTCACACTAAGGGGTTTGGCTTCAAACCAGAATTCCAATCTCTGGAAAATAAAACTCTGAATTCCAAAGAACTACATGGGGGGTATTTATAGCAAACTAAAACCTAGAGACAATAGGATAAAAATCCCTTGATAAAACTGAAATCCTAACCCAAATAAATTAGGAAACTAGAAATCTGGAAAAACTAGAAATCCTATTGAGATCTGGAAAACCAAAAATCCTACTGAAATGTGGAAAACTAGAGAACCTAGGAAACTAACAAAGAAGGAAAGCTGCTCTAAAATTTCAACCCAACCATAATGATAATGTTGGATTGGCTGACTGTTTCCTTCTTCGTTGATAAACCTTAAGAGGTTTGTTATGGATGTTCGCATCATTAATTAGACAGATTTGGCACTTATTTACTCAGAAATGCTATATGGACTAAAACCTAGAATATCTATTTCACAAATTGCAAGGAGGCATGCTACCAAGACCAAATTCAAGGTGGGTTGGGTAGTGTGTAATGCAATACACAACTTTAAATTCAACACGTCTCTTATGCAATATCGTAGAACGCCACATGTTTCCTTCACTAGTTTCCTGCACATGCTTACACGCATGTCTTTATTTTCTCGTAGTGCTTGAAAATTTAATAACATTGAAAAATACAGATTCTTTGCATTCAAGTATTACTACTTAAAAGGAAACTGTTTATACGACACCAATAGGGAATCTAGATACATACATGCAATTACAATTTTACCGAATTTTGGAGCTTCTCTATAAAGTAAAAACATGCACGTAATAGCTATATATATCAAACAGAATATAGAAGGAAAAACAGCATTACAGTGACTCTAACCAAATCTTAAAAATGTTCGGAGAACATAAACTTGCCAAATTCTCTACTTTTCCAATGCTTTCTTCATAGACACCGTGATGGATGGGAAATAAATACAAAGACCACATAAAACTCAATCACTCAAACTGTTCCACACACACCTACTGAAATCTGCTTCTGATAATAAGTGAGATTCAACAACAATTTCAGGAACCAGAAACAAAGGTTACAGATTTCTCTTTTCCTTTGTTCTTATATCAAAACTAAACCAACTTAGTGTAAATTCCATCTAATAACTGATGGGCAGAGACATCCAATGGACCCAATTTCGTCAACCCCAAAGGGAAAAACGAGCCCAGATCCGTATCTCAAATGGGGTTTATAATAAACCGTTTATCTCAATTCCAACAATAAATGGCATCAATGATTGCAATTAATCGAACAAATTCATAGGGCAAAATTATGACATGCAACAAAGAGTAAAACATATCAAACTAAACTAAGAAAACGAAGAACAAGAAAAATAAGTAAAAAAGAAATTGGCACAACATTACCATGGATGTCCAAAGGCCCAACACAGAGAAGAAGAGGAACCTTTTCGTCTCTTGAACGCTTTCAACTAGAAATGAGAATGTTGCAGAGGAGCATTTGGCAGTTCTGTTCTGTTGACAGACAGAGAAGAAGAACAAGGGTTTACGGAAACAAACGAAGACGGTGGGAGATGGGTTTTATGGCCTTTACACTTTGGTTTTGGGTTTTTTCTTTGGTATGGTTCAAAAACCAAACTAATTTGATTAACCAATTTAACCCAATCAATTTAAATTTATTTATTCTTTTTTTTTTTTTCTTTTCTCAATTTGTATCTAAATTGAAATTAAACTATTATAAATACCTTTGGGCCGAGTCACCTTAATACTATATCCCAGCCTGAAAAAGAGAATTGGTTGTAGACGTATAAGAACATAATAATTTAATTCTACAACGAGGCTAAACTTAATCAAATGACCGGCAACAAAGTTATCCTCTGTAAAAGTACAGATCTTGCACATCAAGCGTGACCATCCCTAATGAGAGTAAAAAGAGATTGGCATGCATGATCATGTTGTTTAACCAATTATTGTTTACCCCAAATAGCTTTACCGTAGCCATTGGTCAAGAAATTTGTTTATCCCAAATAGCTTTACAGTAGCCATAGGTCGAGAAATTGTGTGAGATGTGAGCGTGCCACTATTAGCATTCGAGATAGTCTAATAGATTGATTAATAAATAATTACTTGCGTCTTAAGTAACCTGACTCTCAATCAAACTACTGAATTCCGAGTGGGGAGCTAGCATAGATTAGTTCCCATCTATTTAAGGACTATTATTTAGTGTAAATACGAAATAGAGAATTCGATTCAATCATAAACAGTTGTGAAATAGAATAACAAAGTCTGAATCACTACTATAAAAGTAACAGCAACAAATCTTGTTATGGAGTGGATACATAACATGAAAACAAACCAAATTGAACTGAAAGTAAGCAATGAAAACCGGATTTGGCCGAAGAGTTGTTAATTTGGACTGACTAGTTGCAGTAGAGAAACAAGAATTACACATGGGACTGATCATCAACTAGAAATTATACCAAAAGCAAGGCTATGGTAAAATTTCGCATGAGTTGTCAACTGGTTTGGAATTCTATTTGGGATCAATGTGATCAATTTGATATAAATTATGATAATTATGGTTAGGATCTCTCTCTTCTTTCTCTCTTCCTTTTCTGGATCTTCTGAAAATATGGTGACAAAGTTTCTTCAAAATTTCCTCCTTTTATATACGAGATTAGGTGCACTACTTTCAGACATTATACTGACTGCTGGCAGCTGGGAAGAACCTCTTGGAAAAAGTAAGGATGGCAAATCATCAGTATTCTTATTTTCCTTTGAGTTTAGTTGAGCTTTTCTGCAGCTGCAATGAGAGTCACATTTTGTACACATCTGCCGAGTTTCAGCAGCAGGCACCCAATTACATAAGACATCTTGTGACACATGGTTAAAATACAAAAAATAGAGCAGCTTCAATTGAACTAGGAAAGGAACTCTGTATTAACATTCTCACCTAAACCCTAAAGTCCCAGAGTAATTCACCCTCTTATATGTTTGAAATAGGAGTTTCATATATTACTGAAGTGGCATCCCCAAAAGTTGCACCAACCTCTGTTTCCAAGAAGGAAAAAAAATGTCAGTTTAAACACAGGAATCAAACTCTAGAACTTCATGCACTTCCTTTTAATTTTTAAGACAAGTTTTTCAATGCATAAGGTTTTAATTTCAAAACACCAAGCGAGCGCAAGGAAGAACGTAATCCAAAATGGGGAATAAAGAAAAAGAAAAAGTCAGACTATCTTCATCTTCCAATCAAATGGTAACATAAAAAATTCATGTTTCACTTCCATAATGAATGCTCTATCCCCTCAAAATAACAAAAAATTTGCTCCAGCCACAGACACCATGAAGAACGCAATGGTGGACTCCAACTTATGTTATTAGTCTTCTTGACAAACCATACAGACTCCACAAACACATCAGCTGTAGCTATCATCACCCAAGGAATTCCAAAAAGACTGCGCGTGTGTGTGTGTGTGTGAGAGAGACAGAGAGAGAGGATGAAAAATAGCATCATTTCCTAGCAAACATGCAACAAAGAAATAGTGATTTACAGATTCCTCTGCTTGCTTTCACAAACACAACTGATGGACAAGTGCGAGTTGTCCAATTACATTATCTATTGTTAAAACCTTACCCAAAGATGCTGTACAAGCAAAAGAAGCTACCTTAGGTGGGGCAGCATTACACAAAATTTCTTTCCATGGAAAGAGCAAGGATTGAACACCAAATGGATTCCCTTTAGTATGGTTTATCCTTAAACACCCCCATTTTGGATAAACCCCATTTCATCCCCTCACCTCCAATATTACTCCCTAAGAGAAGTTTGAAAAAATTAAAAACACCTCATAAATAATTAAAATAAAATTGTTACGAGGTGCTAACATAAGTCATATAGAGACGGTGCATCCCATTGAAATTGTAAAGAGAAGAAGAACCAATTAAAAAACAAAACAAAAGTATTTATATGCCCCCTAGAAATAGAATAATCTTCTCGATGAATTTCTTTAACCTCATGACACAGTGCTACTCTGCAAATGCTATATGATATTTCTCTTAACACAAACACAAGGACAAATGAAAAGGTACTGCCTACCAAACCTCTCTATTATAATAAACCTGCAATTGAAAGTCAATGACACTTTTCAGCATCCGCATGAGAGCACAAAGATATAACATATGTAATCCCATAGCTCCCTGGGCACTGAACAATAAAAATGTAAATGATACATGGTTCATTTTAGCTCTTACACATAGCATCTATTAACACTGACCAGAAGCTTCCCATTTTCATCAAGTAATCATCAAAACTCTCTAATGAGCACAATCCAAATAAAAAGTTGGGGGGGATGTGCCTGTCCCAAACTTTTCCACTGAAAAGAATTTTAAAAAGGTCTTTGCATCAAACTTCTTCCCCTATTGAAAGTCCAACTCAATTAGTCATCAAACCCCAATTCTACAACCTTCACCGCTATTAAAGTCTTAAAAGGAATCCAACACAAAAACCAGCTCTCATTCATTCAGATTCTCTAAAAATATAGGGATCTGAGAGATACCATCTCCATCACACACAACCATTTTTATCAGCTGCCAAATCAAGAAAAGCATTCTTCAAAGGGCAATTAGACACGTCATACCATGAAAAAAATGCACTTGCCTACCAACTGTTATCTGAAATCCATAATCCTCTACCATGTGATATAACAGTCTTTGTGCTAGAGCCACCAAACTCCTCTTCAGAATTCTTTTCCAAAAAAGATCTCCACAAGCTCTGCAAGTCCACAGCATAAAAGCAAAGCTTCCAGATTCCAAACCCCCATTCTGCCCCAAGAGGCAAGCAGTTCATCAACCAATCAAATTTCTCCAAATTTCAAAACTCCTAAAAGAAGAGCAGTAATCCACTGCAATAGTTTCAGTTAATAACCCAAATGAGCCCTGTGCATGACAAAAGACCGAGAACATGCATATGTTCCATACCACCTTGGATGATATAAAAGTAATCACCCTGTAGCATGCCATAAAATCACCATCACCATCTAAATCACCATAGTTGAGACATGAGACACCTAAATTTCTGGTTCACACAAATTCAACAATGTAATATGTAGCTGGAAGAGAATAACTAACATAGAATTAAGGCATGGCATGAGACACCAACTCAGAAAACATAACTATAAGAAGAAATTTTGGTTGTTTTCGTCAACTTCCCATGTTGTTGATGTCTTGGATTGGAGAAATCCATGATATCTATTTGCAATACAATGAAATATCAGGATAAATTTAACTTAAACCTCCAAGAGGATTTTCCTAGAACTTCTACTGATAGTCAATACCTCATCATCTACTGCACTCAGTGCAACATTTTCCTTTTTCTTTTTCAGATGCATAATCTAATTAAAAAGCATAATAATTAGACAAACTAAACATTGAGAAATGCTATATGTAATAAAAATGCAGTCTGCTATAAACACCAAATTCAAGGTGAGTGAATTATTGTGTAATGCAACACATAACTTCAAAAATTCAACTGGCTTGTCCACCTGTAAACATAATGCAGTAAAACTTTACTCAATAACTCAACTCTGAATTCCAAAGAACTACATGGGGGGTATTTATAGCAAACTAAAACCTAGAGACAATAGGATAAAAATCCCTTGATAAAACTAAAAATCCTACTGAGATCTGGAAAACTAAAAATACAACTGAAATGTGGAAAACTAGAGAACCTAGGAAACTAACAAAGAAGGAAAGCTGCTCTAAAATTTCAACCCAACCATAATGATAATGTTGGATTGGCTGATCGTTTCCTCCTTCGTTGATAAACCTTAAGAGGTTTGTTATGGATGCCCACATCATTAATTAGACAGATTTGACACTTATTTACTCAGAAATGCTATATGGACTAAAACCTAGTATATCTATTTCACAAATTACAAGTAGGCATGCTACGAAGACCAAATTCAAGGTGGGTTGGGTAGTGTGTAATGCAATACACAACTTTAAATTCAACACGTCTCTTATGCAATATCGTAGAATGCCACATGTTTCCTTCACTAGTTTCCTGCACATGCTTACACGCATGTCTTTATTTTCTCGTAGTGCTTGAAAATTTAATAACATTGAAAAATACAGATTCTTTGCATTCAAGTATTACTACTTAAAAGGAAACTGTTTATACGACACCAATAGGGAATCTAGATACATACATGCAATTACAATTTTACCAAATTTTGGAGCTTCTATAAAGTAAAAACATGCACGAAATAGCTATATATATCAAACAGAATATAGAAGGAAAAACAGTATTACAGTAACTCTAACCAAATCTTAAAAATGTTTGGAGAACATAAACTTGCCAAATTCTCTACTTTTCCAATGCTTTCTTCATAGACACCGTGATGGATAGGAAATAAATACAAAGACCACAGAAAAATCAATCACTCAAACTGTTCCACACACACCTACTGAAGTCTGCTTCTGACAGTAAGTGAGATTCAACAACAATTTCAAGCACCAGAAACAAAGGTTACAGGTTCTCTTTTCCTTTGTTCTTATATCAAAACTAAACCAACTTAGTGTGAATTCCATCTAATAACTGATGGGCAGAGACATGCAAATGGACCCAATTTCGTCAACCCCAAAGGGGTAAAGCGAGCCCAAATCCGTATCTCAAATGGGGCTTATCTCAATTCCAACAATAAATGGCATCAATGATTGCAATTAATCGAACAAATTCATAGGGCAAAATTATGACATGCAACAAAGAGTAAAGCATATCAAACTAAACTAAGAAAACGAAGAACAAGAAAAAGAAAAAGAAATTCGCACAACATTACCATGGATGGCCAATCCAAAGGCCCAACACAGAGAAGAAGAGAAACCTTTTCGTTTCTTGAACGCCTTCAACTAGAAATGAGAATGTTGCAGAGGAGCATTTGGCTGTTCTGTTGACAGACAGAGAAAAGGAACAAGGGTTTACGGAAACAAACGAAGACGGTGGGAGATGGGTTTTATGGCCTTTACACTCGGCTTTGGGGTTTTCCTTTATATGGTTCAAAAACCAAACTAATTTGATTAACGAATATAACCCAAAAACGTATAGCCGGCCGGCTATATGTGAAAATAAAAATTTAACAATAGTATAGCCGTTCGGCTATACTATTTAGAAGAAACCAAGGAGACTGGGCTGCGGTTCAGTGATTGTGAAAATTGAATCAAATATGAGAAGCTGAGCTGCATTCCTGTTGCTCTATAGGAGCGCGACTATACATAAAATAAATAAATAAAGTAGTATAGCCGGCAGCTATATTATTTTTAATTTTTTATATTGGGGTGGTTATACGTTTTAAATATATTCGAATATTTAAATAGTATACCCGTTGGGGCTAGACTATATTTTTTATTTTATTTTTAAGTATAGCCGCGCGGCTAGACTATTTTTATTCATTTTATACATAGCCACGCGCCCATACTTCTATAGCTGACTTATTCTTGGGTAATAAAAAATAATTATATTTCTTATTGTATACACAATGTAACCTTATATTTACCTCTCAAGAAGAGGAAGAATAACATGTGATGGAAGTCCTTTGAGTAAAATCATGTATATCATTATATTTTATCAAATTAACTTCAGAGTAAACTGGACTTGAGTAAACTTCATGTGTACTTCAATTAAACAAAAGAATTCTTCTCTTTGTTGAAACTTTCGATGAAGTGTTGCAGCTTTAGATTTTGCTTGTGTTTGATGTCTCTTGATATGTTTCCGTGAGAAGTTTGAAGAGAGACGCATATTTTCTGAACCTCTCTCAAGGTTTCCATCCACTTTCCGTTTCGAAATCCTGACGTATTGAGCTCAGGCCTGTGCAAACCTTAAGAAGGTCCAGAACTTTATTTGAACTGTTAATCCAAATGAAAAATTTTTATTAGGTTAAGCGGACTGAACAGTAAATAAAAATAAACAAATAAAATAAAAAAAGAAGGTGATAAATAGAAGGTAACAAAAACAAAAACTGAAAAGCAAGCAAACAATCAAATACAAAGAGAAATGAACTTCAACAGACTCAGCCTCACCATGTTTATTGTGTTGCCTGTTGAGCAAGAGGCCTATGAGGCTTTGGAGCTGAAACAAACCAAAGAATACAATCAATTAAATACTTCAGCTAGAAAATGAATATTCTAAGCAACAAATATATGTCAACAACTAACAAAGGTGGTCAGCATAACATGAATTTTTCTACATGCTATTGGAATCCCTCAATGAGAAAAGGAGTTGACAAACTAAACAAATTAACAATTCCCTATAGAGGCATGATGTCCAAAAAAACTTAAATCATGAATAAACTAGATACCATTGGGATTTCCCTGCTCATAAAAACTACGAAAAAGAGAGACTGCTTCTGATGCCATTATCCCTCCATTGCATTTGAATCCTTTACCTCTTGGAGCTCCACCACTACAACAAAGGGAAAGTAAAAACTGAGAAAGCCCCACCACATGAATGGTGTGATGCAAGAATCATGTTGAATAAGATCAGAGGAAGAACACTATACTGCATTAGTAATTTTCATTTAGAGTATACTGCACCAACACAGCAATGACAGACATAACAAGTAAAAATATATATTTGAAACACTCAGAGAATGCAGTGTCGAGAAGACTATAACTCGTGTTTTTCTATAATTGCTAAAGGCACTTAAAAATTCCATTTACAGACAGTGTATTTACACAAATATGCCTGAACTATTCTCATCAGCACAATCTCGAAAATGAAAAGATTTCATCAGGCATCCTAAACACACCATCTTTGGTAAAAATATTTCATATCTTGTCATATTAAATTGTAGATGCAATTATGTGCACATAAGGATAAAATGTATTCTGTCCATGAATCTTGGTGTGTGAGTGAGTGTGTGTCAAGGAAACAATTTGTAAAAAAAGTAACAACTAGTGAGGACACCACAAAAAATCAGTTAATTCTTGTTGTGAGGTTGGGTTCAGAAAGAAACCTAATGAGTGGCTCAGAGCTAATTGAGTGCAATGACAATATTGATCCACACCCGCCAAATTTATCATTGCCACAGCCATAAAATACTTCCTTTATTCCTAAAGAAGGGAAGAAGAGTCACCTATATTAGTGGCAAGAGGAAAGAGAAAAAAGTGTCGAAATTTATTAACAAAATTTTAAGAAAAGGGGCATACCAATGAATGATAAAGCCGCTGCACACATTATACATGGTTCACATGTAACATAGAGTTTACATTTTGAAAAAGTTTTGGCAACTTCTGACTGTGAAAGCCTCTTTTCTCTCCACTGCTCAAGAAGGGTATCAATGGCTTCCATCTCTGCATGCCTTGTAGCCTGCATTTTTATGGCAAGCACATTAAACTAGAAACTAAATTTCCAAAGGCTTACATATGAAGAAGACTTCCTGGACATAAAACAAAACAAAGAAGTGCCAAACAGAGATCACATCTTATAAATTATTATAATAATTTAAGAAGAAAAAAAATACTTACAACCCTAAAGAATGCATTACGTTCTTAATGATAATCACATATAACTTACGGTCTAGCTCCAATTAGTTGAATTAGCCTCAGTCATCCCACAAAAAATAATTAAGATCACCGAGAAAATGCATTAACTGGACCCCATCTTTTTTATGCGGTTCCAAGGAAAACTGTATTTCGGAGAAAGATGCAACTGAAATGCGAGAAATTATCCTCATGAAGCAAACTAGAGAGGCGTGGCTAGTCGTTAAATGAGAAGACTCAAAAATTCAAATACACAGGAACAATTGCTTCTTCAGTTTAAAAACAGTCTGTATATAGATAAAGTTACCAACAAGAACCAAGGAAAAAAAAAGAGAGAGGAACCAATGGTAAATTTACATTTCGTGTCTCAGTTGTTCGATTTCTTCCAGATGCTATGACCTTGCCATCTTCAACAATCACACAGCTGATCAATCAAATTTATTGATTAGAAGATGCACTGATATAGTCACACTCTTGACTTCTAACAAAAGAAGCAAATTTCAAGCATGCTGTATGAAATTTCAATGATGTGATCAATAGGGTTTCAATAATGTGATAGGATCAATAGATAAGATAGGCATATGATACTTAAATTATGAGTACAGGCATGCTTTCAAAATTCAGAAGAAAATAATATTTTGCACCAAACTATATACTTAGGAACAAGGTAAAGCTGAACATTTCCAGATGTTATATGATTAAAGAAAAGGCCAAAAAAGGTGAGTATGAAACCCAAATAAATAAAGACTCTTAAAACCCGGACAATTATACAATTACCAGAAATCTTACCCAACAGGAACTTCGAGGCAGTCCATAGCCACCTTTGCCTACAATAAGAAAGCAAGACCAAATATAAAAGTTACATACCTGCAAGGGTAGCAAATTTAAGCACCCAAAATGACAATGAAAAATAATAAAGTCAAGACATTGTGTGCACAGCAGTTGAATCTACATGATGCATAGTGTTGCCATCAGCTGAAACACAAATTTCTGTTAGATGATTGGAACTAATGATAACACAAATGGACAAAGATAAACAACAAACACCAGACTCAATCCTACTATAAAAGGGGGGAAATAAAAGCCAACTTGGCACTCATTTTGGCTCAGAAATGTAAAGAAATCTCAGTGAATGGCATTGGCAGATAAAAAATTACTAACATCACCAGGCCAGTCCATCATTGATACATCAAACTTGGGTATTTGTAAGGAACGCAATATTTTCACAACTTAAAATCCCGGAAATTGAAGCCAAATCACCTCCCACAGTTTATAAGCCTCTACCATGCCATAGGTCAGGATGTTTATGGTATGTATCTATAGTAAATTTAGTCCTTTCTATTACAATCAAACACTAATTTAATATTGCAGCCTGCAAGTAGGAAGTCTCGGAATTACCTGTTCTATAGCAAGAAGCATAAATGTAAGAGTATCGTCAGGGTACTCTTCCCCGAGAGATGACATCTATGAAAAATACACAGGGGAAGACTGAAAAGGCAAAACATACTAGCAGTTAGAAGATAATAGAACAAAAGGAGAGACAATTCTACTGTAACTACAGAATAAACTTTAGTTGGCTTGAAATATGCCAAATTGCATACTCGGGATCTCTCAAGCCTAATTTGTCACCAATTACAAGGGGTAATAAGGATTTGAGGCATTAGAAGCTGGAACATTTAGGGGATTTCTCATAAAAATCTTATTTCAGAGAATTTTAGTCGATAATTTGGATATACCAGCCTTTGATCCAGCTGAAGCGATTTGGGAACAAAAAGTTCCGACTAAGGTGAAGATTTTGAGTTTGGGCTAGCGGCTCACAAGAGGGTGAATGCCTGTGATTTCCTTCAGAAAAGGAGACATAACATTACCAGTAACCCCACTTACAAAAGGATAAAAATGGAGCACTAGTTTGGGACAGCCATGGATGGTCCCTTACAAGCTTCTTGGTTAGCCTCCTAGTAACCAATTGCCAAATCTATCTCAAAACATATTCATGATATATTAATAATATAATCAAATTTTCCCTAAATGGGGAAGTACAATAACTCATGTGCTGGGAAATTTTGTAAGTTGATTCAGGAGTATTTTAACCACAGATATTGAGGTGATGGAGGCCTGCCTCCTCCTCAGACTCTAAGATTACATTACATACATGAAATGTGCATGTTATATGCAAAAATAACATGAAAAATCACCAATAAAACTAGAATATAAATGCAAAGTGACATTCTTTCGAGTGTTTTTCTCCAGAAGGGTGTTGGGTGCATGCTCTCTCTCAATCAACAACCTCAACACCAAACACCGAAAATGTTTTCAACCATTTTCAACACTCTTCAACCTCATAACACACAAAATTCTCAGAACCCATTTGAAGAATTGGATTAAACTATCTAAAGCTTTTCTTTTTTAAATAAAAGAAAATTACTTTAAGACTTACTTTGGCAGCAGTGGCGACGGCGGTTAACGCTCTTTTTGTTTCTGTCAAATGCGTTGTGTTTGTTTTTCA